TATGTCTGTATAGCTTAGAATCACTCTGACGTCGAGTGTTAGAATCAAAAAAATTAAATTATATACTACATAAATGAAAAATACAAACGGCAACACTTTCAAAACTCCATAGATAAAAATGTTAAGAATCTAGACTGGATATTTGTAACAAAATAGAGTATAATTGTAGGAAATAAAGGGAAGAAGAAAAGGAGTAATATGGAAAGACTATAAATGAGGCAACAAAGAAATTATAATTTGAGTTTGTGTTTTGCGTTTTGCATTTTTTTTTTTCGAACTCAAATTTTATTTTATTTCTTTTAATAGTTTTATTGCAAGAAAAATTTTATTTTTTTTTCTTTTCTCAATAAAAGAATTTTAATACAAGGACACTATAAGATACAAATATCTATACATTATAATTATACAAAACAAATACGTTATATAAACATTTACAAATATATATACATATATATATAAAAATAATTTGTATTCGTAAAGTTTTTATAATTTATTAACAGGAAAGTCTCCATGTTTCTTAAAGAAACTTCTTATATAAATTTTATAATATCCTTTATATTTATGATTCCCTATATGTATATATATACATATATATATATATGTGTATATATATATATATTTTTTTTTCCAAATAACTAAGAAGAGAAAAATATACAAAATCTCACTCATTTCTCTCATTTTTATTTTCTTATATTTTTAAAATGTCATCATAACTATGTCATAATATACAAGTACAGGATGTCTGAAAAGTTCCCGTACTCTTGGAAATACTAATTTTTCTCGTTATAATTTTGTTTCTTTTTATACCCTGCACTTCGTGAAGGGTATATTAACTTTGGTATGGAGTTTGTAACTACTTGAAGGAGTCATCTGCGGTATGGACATATATATATATATTCTTGCTCAGCGTAAAATTCTGAGTCGATTTAGACATGTCCGTCTGTCCGTCCGTCCGTCCGTCCGTCCGTCCGTCCGATCGCACGATAACTCAAAAACGAATAATGCAATCGACACCAAACTTTCACAAGTTTTTTCTTTTGTGCCAAGGACGAACCCTATTGTTATTGGACTAATTCGGACAACGGGTTCGGGTAGCTGCCATACAACTCAAGGAGTTTATTTTAAATATTTCGAAAACTAATAAAGCTATTAATATAAAATTTTGTATACATGTGTCCAATTATATTCTACACATGCTCTAAAAATTATAATGGGATAGCTGCACCGGTTCGGGTGGCTGCCATACAACTCCAACAGCAAATTTTTTATATTTGGCAAAATAATAAAGTCAGATTCGTGAAACTTGGTAGTCATGTGTCCAATTATAGGACAAATGTATTTCTGAAGTTTTAGAAGAATTGCTTGACAGGTTCGGGTACCTGCCATACAACTCCAGAAGCTAATTTTAAATATTTGGAAAAATAATAAAGTCAGATTCATGAAACTTGGCAGTTGGATGTCCGATTATAGATCAGATATATTTGTGAAGTTTTAGAGGAATCGCTTGACAGGTTCGGGTACCTGTCATACAACTCCAGAAGCTAATTTTAAATATTTGGAGAAATAATAAAGTCAGATTCATGAAACTTGGCAATCATGTGTCTAATTATGGCTCAAATATATTTCTGAAGTTTTGGTGGAATTGCTCGACAAGTTCGAGTAGCTCCCATACAAGTCTAAAAGCTTATTTTAAATATTTGGAAAAATAATAAAGTCAAATTCATGAGACTTGGCAGTTGTGTCCAATTATAGGTCCGACATATTTCTAAAGTTTTGGTGCGATTGCTTGACAGGTTCGAGTAGCTCCCATGCAAGTCTAAAAGCTTATTCTTAATATTTGGAAAAATAATAAAGTCAGATTCATGAAACTTGGCAGTTGTGTGTCCGATTATAAATCAGATATATTTGTGAAGTTTTGGTGGAATTGCTTGGCAGGTTCAGGTACTTACCATACAACTCCAAAAGCTAATTTTAAATATTTGGAAAAATTATAAGGTCAGATTCATGAAACTTGGCAGTCGGATGTCCAATTATAGGTCAGACGTGTCCGTGAAGTTTATATAGAATGATTTTAGGGGTTCAAGTAATTGCTACACAATAACGAAAGGTGCAGGGTATAATTCAATCGGTTTATACCGACTGAAACGTTTTTACTTGTTTATTTTCAATTTGGTTTCATTATTTGAATTCATCGTACAATTTTACCCCTGTCTTTATTTTTTGTTAGCCTAGAAATGAATCACGATAACAAGCGCATTACTCTTACAAAATTGCACAGATCAGGTATGAAGACAACTGAAATTGTAAGGACGACTGGTTATACTGTCTATGATGCACGGAGCATTTGTATTAAACTTTTTATTGAATATTGTTATTACTACTCTAATAAGCATTTCTGACAAGTTAACAATGTTGATTTCTTAATCCATGTAGCAATTCTAAGCTGTAAAAATATTTAAAAAAAAAGTAGGCGAACTTTTCAGACACCCTGTATACATAACGTACAAAATATTATATAAAAAATATAAAAATGCACAAAGAATGGCAAAAAAAAAAATTCTTTTAATATTTTTAAATGAAGTGTTTATACACTTTATTAAAATCAAGTAAAAATAAAACTGTTTTCGAAAAATTAAAACAAAGAAAACAAAATAAAAAAAACAACCCAAGAATTTCATTCGGAGAAAAATTAGACTTCTGCAAAATAAATGAATAAAATTCATGAAAATGTTTAAAAAATTATGATGACAAAGAAAATTATTACAATAAAAATAACAAAAACAAAAAAAAAATCATAAGGATATTAATTATGAGAAAATTGTGAGAAAAAAAAACAAAATTAATAAAATGATGACTTTTTAGAAATTTTCAAAAAGGTGTGTTTTTTTTTGTGTTAAATTTAAAATTTATGACGACGTATAAACTATTTTTTTTTTTTTGAAAATGCAAAGGATATAAAATTAGTTTTTAAAAGAATTTCCTTTTTTGCCCATTTTTTTTTTTTTTTTGACTAATAACTTGTTAGAAACAGAAAACTTTAACTAATACATAAATTTGCATACACATACAAATATTAATTAATATAATTGTATTTTAATATATATGATTAGTTGTGCACACCCCTATCGAGATATAGGGTTGTACAGTTACATAGAAATTGTGTTTTCCAATAAATGAGTTGCTAATAAATAAGTTGTTGTTATCGTTGTGCAATTCACAATGTTGTTTAAAAATCTCTTGCGATGAGAGAAGGAAACATTTATTTTAGGGAAATTAAAATTAAATTTGTAAGAAAAATATTAATAAAATAAAATAAATAAAAGAAAAAGAAAAAACAAATTCGTAATATTCAAAAATAGTTTTCGAACATAAGGAACCACACAGTCTTGTGTGATTTAATTGCTATATACGTGAGGTAAATACTACAACCAGATAACTCGTAATTATTGGTTTAGAGATATTGACTTTTAAAGATACAAAATTTAGCAAATAATTGATCATGAAGATATCTAATTTTTGGCATTATCATTTTCAGATATTTAAGAGATGTGAGAGTCTTCATGGGTCTTTCAATGTGGTATTATCGATTGGGTGAGCATTTGAAGAAGCGAAAACTGAAGGTCGAGCGTAACTGCCGGTTCAGTGGGGAGGCGATAAATTTTTCGGGGGGAAATAATTAATTCACGAGAAAATAGCGTATTTGTTGTATACTTTGGAAACAGAAGAATTAGGGGGTAAAAATAATTTTACTCAGTACTGAGGCGCGTAACAGATCATCTAGAGTCGTGGTGTGGTGCATTGTTATTCCATAAATATTTTAAAAATTAGCACATTGTATTTTTCTTATACCTCAAATATTTCTATATAGCGTATTATTTTAAATGTTAATTGTGTTTGTTGAGTGGCACGCGTCACAATTGAAAAAACAAAAAACAATATCCAAAACTTTCCACAAAATTTATTACGTTCACATTACATGTTATAAGAATAGAAAGAATTATGTAAGAATTCCAAATCAAAACCGCAAAAAAAAAAAAAAATTTTATTAAGAAAAATTGTATAAGACTTACAAACGTTAGAGTTACTTTTGCTTTAAAATAACTATTGTTTACAATTTATCAAGTTGTAAGCAAATATTTTTATGTATGCTTACTTACTATATATACTACTTACGTAGTATTATATACATATTTAGTAAATATTATGAAAATATTTTGAAATTTTCGATTTTGACCGCACAGCACAACAAAATGTGGTTTAATAATCACACGAAATAAATTTTAGGTAAACAAAATAGCCATCTATTTTTGCTCCCAAAGTATTGATATACTCTTTTATGTCACTCTATAACACTTGGAGTAATTAAATTTGTGGGAAATTTTATGAAATTATTATTTAAAGTTTGCGTATGATAGAATTTTTCCAAAGAAAGAAATTAAATTTAAAGGAAATTGTAATTTGTGTGGAAAGTTTTTACTAGGAACGAAATTAAAAGGAAAATGCTTAAAGTAATAAAACGCCTGTATTAATTTGAGCGGCTTAAGTCATACAACTATTTCGTTCAATAAATTGGTCTGCATAGTGTGCATTTTACACGCTTATATGGTTATTTCTTTTTAAAACATATAATTCAAATTATATTAGAAAAATTCCCATATTTACACGATATAAGAATTTTGTTTATTTGAAATTTCACATGTTTAACAAATACAATTGCACGCTTGTAAGATCTAATGCCTTGGGTGAAATAATATTTTATTTATTATGTCTTATAATCTTATAAATTATAAGGGCTATTACAAAATATATGAACAAAGGTTAGGCTCCATGATCCGCTCCTCTTATGGCTGTCTCCACGTCTGCTATGATGTCCATCAGTTCCGAAACTGGTGTGTCTACCAAAAATTCACAAGGAAGGTGAGCAGTTCAGGGAGATCATTTCCGCTAACGGCGCCCCAACATACAAAATTGCGAAGTGGCTCGTGAAAAGATTTGGGGAAATGGATTTCCGTCCCTGTTCTATTAAGAATAGAGAGGAATTCATAGAAAAAACTAAAGGCTTAAAGATTGGTCCTGATGAATTAATGGTATCGTTCGATGTCAAAGCGCTCTTTCCCAGTGTTCCAGTTAACGAAGCTCTTGAATATTTGAAAGTATGGTTATCAACACAAGAAGGAGAAACAGAAACAGAAAATTGGAACAACAAAGTAAAAGAATACCACAAATTAGCAAGACTTTGCATGGAGGAGAATTACTTCGAATTCAGAAACGAGATGTACAGAACAACATCGGGAGTATCGATGGGCAACCCACTTTCACCATTTATTGCAGAATTATTTATGTCCAAATTGGAAAAAAGAATGGAGGAGGATTCTCTGATGCCTAGAGTATGGATGCGGTATGTTGATGACGTCTTCGCGATAGTGGACAAGGAAGAACTGGAGAATATAAACAGATGCATCAACAAATTACATAGAAACATCGAATTTACATTCGAAATTGAGGAAAATGGAGTGTTACCTTTTTTGGACATATTGGTGAAAAGAAAATCTGAAAAAATAAGATTCAAGATATATAGGAAGAAAACAACAACACAAAGATGCATTCTAAAGGACTCGTACCATTCAACGAAACATAAAATGGCGGCGTTCAACTCTATGATCCATAGAATGCTAACCACACCGATGGACAGACACGACTATAGATCAGAAGTAAACTTCATTTTGGGCACGGCTGTGAAGAACGGTTATTCTACTGAAAGTATTAAGAAACTCATTAGGAAGAAAAAACGAAAAATTGAGCAGGAGAATATGAGCACATTGTTTAAACAGAACAGGATATTGGAAGAACAAAGAACAACATGGGCATCTTTAAGTTATGATCATCACTGTACAAACTTGATAAATAAACAACTTAGGAAACACAATATTCGGACATCGGAAACCAATAGTAAATATCAACTTAGGAGTTTGTTAAATTCGGCTAAGGATAAATTGAAGATACATGAAAGATGCGGTGTGTACAAAATCAATTGTAATAATTGAAATAAATTTTACATAGGACAAACGAAGAGACCCGTTACAACAAGACTTAAGGAACATTTAAGTGAAATAAAACGTGCAAGGAGAGTAGGATTTAACCGGATTTTCGATTCTATGGTTGCAAAACACATTTATGAAACGGATCACACGGAGAGAAGTTCATGAAAGCATGCAGATATACAAATCAAACAAGGACTGCCTACTAAACACGGACGAAGGTAACGCGGCTACTTGGCTCTTTAAATTAATTATTTGACCAGTTTTAAGGTTTAAAACAGGTATAAATTTAGTTTGTAAATAATAACAAAAAAAAAAAAAAAAAAAAATTAATAAAATTCTAGATTAAGTCAGGTATAATATTCCTAATTTTAATAGATTTCAATTTTTATTGTTTGTTGTCTTAATTAGAAGAAAATCAGCTTTGATAAAGTGCGTATGTAGCGCACGAAATATATTAGCGAAAAATAAAAAGTATTTTATTCCGAATAAAAGGAAGTTTTCTTTAATAATTAATTTTAATAATTAATGAAAAAAAAAAATTTGTTGTCGCCGCTGTTTTAAGTATACCATATTTAATTTCGCATAAGATGATAATTGAGGCGGGATTTAAAAATCTTAGTTTTTAGTTGAGCTCATATTTATCAGTTTAGTCTTGCTTAAATAAATCCACTTTAAAAATCTTGTTCAGAGTAATTTGTTGTGCCATAAATCTTATAAAATTGAACTTTGCACATAATATTTTCAAATTTTTTTCAATTTCTTAAGGAAGCTTAAAAATGGAGTAATGCTTAATTCTAAAATTCTTAGAGTTTTAAAATTAAACTTTACTCCGTCATTTGATTATTTTTGCCCAAGGCAAATTGCACATTTTATTTTGAAATTTTTTTGAAATTCCGTGGGCAAAATTATTTTTAAAAGCACAGTTTATTGCATAATTCACTAAAAAACTTCTAGTTAAACTATAAATTAAATACAAAAAAACAATAAGAAAAAAAAAATAATAAAAAATATAAATATATGTATAAAGTTTAGAAATTTACCTTATCTATTTAATGTTAATTCAAATATACAGGAAAATTAAAGGAAACAAGAAAAAAAATCCCCTAAAATTATGCAATAATTTTAAATATGAAATCCAAATTAAAATAAAAACAAAAAAAAAATTGGCAATCCTTAAAATAAATTTCCATATCGTTTTTTTTCTCTCTCTCTCTTTTTCATTTGTTTCTTTCTCTTTCTCTCTATTACTACTTTAATTGCACTTATATTTAATCCATTTGAAAATGTCCCAGATTTTATTTTTATGATTTTTTCTTGATTTTTTTTTGTTTTTTTGCTTTGTTTGTTCTCTGCAACTATAAATAAAAGGATGTGATTTCATTTTTTTTTTGTTTTTGTTCAAAATACCAAAAGTAAGAATATAAAAATTGTCTATTCATCATCATCTATTCAAAAAAATGTTTTACCCCAGAAAAAACAACAAAAAAAAAAAAAATAAGAGAATAAAAACCCTAATTTTCTGATAATTTTAATAAAGCATCTTTTGTTGAAAAATCATTAAAAGAAATTTTGTTGGGTCGGGAAGGAGGAAGGGTGGGGGGGGGGGGGCTTTAAAAAATTTTCTCAATAGCTAGCTAATAATAAGAAGAACAAAAATAAAATCTGTTTGTAATGCACCGAAATTTTTATAACAATGAAATGGAGTCGCTCTTTTTACTTTTTGCTCTTTTTCTGTTTCACTTTAAAGAATTCACTGTTATTTCTCCTGTAAAAAATACTACAGAAATAGTTGTATGTAAATGGTTGTATATTGTCCTGGTTTATGTAAATGGTTGTATAAATTAAATGTCCTGGTTTTTTTTCTCTCTCTTTTTTTGACAATTACATAATCTTTACTTAAATTTAATGCACATTAAAAAAAAAAAAAAAAAACAAATATTTTTCTTATAATTCTAATTTTTTTCTTCTTCGTTTTTTTTTTTTCAGAATAATTACCTAATGGAATTTGGATATCTTCCAAAGTCAGATATCGAAACTGGAAATTTAAGAACCGAAGAACAATTCCGAAATGCGATTAAAGATCTCCAGGTAAATTATATTTCTTTTGTTTTTATTGTATGTGCATATTTGTATAACATTGTATAACATGAAAGTGTTTGTAGGAGTGGTATAGTTTAAACAAAAGGTAGGAAAACAAGGAAAATATTTAAAAAAAAATTTAGGGTAGTTATTATAAAAGTTTTATACTATTTTGAATATTTGAAATTTTTTTCTTTAGTTTTTGAAATTGCATAAGGTAAATTTAAAATAATTGTGGTAAAAGTATTTAAAGTTATAAAAATAGGTTATAGACAAACATTTAGGAACAAGTTAATTAATATAACACTTAAGTTGAACAATTTGGGGTTTTTTTTGTAGGTTTTTCATTCTATGCATACATAGAAGGAATCTGATTATCTAGCATTAATTTAATAAGTGTAATTTAAACTGAGATTCGGAATTATTTTCCCCGAACAACAAAATTTGAAATATTAAAAATTTCCTTGTTCATAAATGCTTTGAAAATTTTTAATTTTTAAAATTACTGTTATAATTGAAGAGGTAAGTGGACAAAGGGGTTAACTTAAACTTGCATTGTGACACGTTTTTTCATTAACAAATTTTAAAACTATTAATTTTTTTGTTACTTTACTCCTATGTGCACTGTCAATCTTGTCTTCTACTAAGTTTCTAGCTATAAGAGTAATCACAGTTGAAAATATATAAAAATAATAATGTTCTATCCGAAAAGCTTGATTTTTGTCAAATTGCTAGTTAACCCCTTTGTCCACTTACCTCTTCAATTCTTAGTTGCTAATTGAAACAAATAATCAAATGCTATATAGACTCCAATTAAACGTTAGCCTTAGAGTTAAGTTAAAGGAATTGTAATTTAATCAGCAACTCGACCATACAGGTTTTTTTTTGTGCATCACCGCCCCAAATCATTAGAACTTAATATTAAGGTTCCCGATAAATTTTAACAGGTCCACCATGTACAACGATTCATGAGAATCCAAGTTCAAGGCCCCGAGAAATCTGTATCTAGAGCGAGCCAAACATAAAAACTCTTACTTTTATTATGAAATTTATTATGTTTCATGAGTTTTTAATATGTATACTCGTATACCTCACTAATATTCAATAATAATGTTGAACTCACGTTTTTGGCAAGAGTTTTATTTGATGTTTTAAAGTAAATTGCTTTGATTAGGCCGTCAACATCATTGAAATAGTTGTGAAGCTTTAAATAAAGTAATTAGTAAAGTGTTTAATATGACAATTCCGGCACAGTGATGAATATACGAAAGAGTTGTTAAACAATAATCGAAAGTATACATAAAAAAAATATAAGCAAAATCATGTCGAAACTGGCGGCTCTCTAATGACAAATTTTACTTTAAATACACATAATTAAGTATAATGTTATTCACAATTAAGGCAGCAACGCTATTGTGGGACGCAGGTTTCAGAAATTTTAGATTAGAATTCTTATTACTAAATTTTTGGTTTTAGGCAGTCTACTAATAAAGTTCAACTGAAACATTTTAGGTTTTTAAAAAAAAAAATTTTCACCAGAAATTTCCACAATTTAAAATTATTGTTGAGAAAATTTTCCATTTGCATTTTATGCAATATATTCAACAACAAATTAAATTTGAATTTAAATAAAAACTATAATAAAAATTTTTTTTGGGAATGCTCTTTAATATTCACTTAACTTTTAATTTTTTTTTCTTTGTGTATTTTCATATTATATTTTTAATTTAAATCCCCCGACACCTTAACTATTTTACAAAACTATTTCAGTTTCAACCACAGAATTTTTTTTTTATAATGCATAATATTTTTGTCTATTATTCCAATCTTTTAAATATAACTTAATTTACATTTTAAATTTATTCTAAAAATTTTGAATTTTTTATTTGTATATATATATATAGAAATATGCTCACATTCCTGTAACTGGTAATTTAGATGATAGGACAAAAGATCTCTTAAAACGACCACGTTGTGGTCTACCAGATAAAGCAGATACATTAGATTTTTCTCCGGATAATCTAGAAAAATCTGATAATCGACGACGTCGTAAACGTTATGTTGTACAAGGTGCAAAATGGGATCATTTAGATTTAACATGGAGGTAAGTGAAGTTAATTTTATCTATATATATATATATATATATATATATATATATATACATATAAGTTTCTTTTTAATTCACTATGCGAATTTTAAGATTCAAGTATATAAGTATTTCAATATATGAACTTAATAAAAACTTACTTTTGTAATAGGTTCTACGTATGGTATATAAGAGTGAGAAATTGTCTCAATTCTTCTTAGCAGATATAGATATAATCTGCAAATTATATAATATAAAATTAATATAAGAAACAGAAAAGGAATTTGTTTTCATTCTTCTCTCTATATATCTTCAATTGATACTGATACAACTGTTATATTATTATACATTCCTGGATTAACCTTTTTATAATAGGGATTTTAAAAGAAGAATTCATATAAAAAAATATAGAGAAACTTTTTTTTTTTAAATTATACGAGAAACTATGATGGTAAAACAGTTGTTATACTTTGAAAATTTATTTCCGGAAATAGTAAAAACCAGAGATATATATATAATAAAAATAAAAGATGCATAGGATATTTTGTGCCAGGAAAATTTTTATGCTTTAGAACAAGAAAAATAAAAAAATGTATAGAATAAAATAAAAGAAAATTGTATAGAAAATCAAAAAGTTGAAATTTATCCTGTTGAATATAATTTTGTTATACAATGAAGCCCCTCTTTTATTGTATACTGTTAGTAAGGTTAAAAAATTATGACTAAAGTTCAAAATATATACACATACATACTGGAATATATATGTACGTATATAATTTAGATTTAGATGTATGTATGTGTATATAGAATTGTGTTTTATAGCTGTTTTTAATTTAGATGAAGAAATTTTTTAAATTATATGGTTGCAATTTGGTTTCTTTAGTTTGCCTTTTGTTTTGCTTACAAAATATGGTAAAAATTAGAATAATAGTTTCCTCTTATTTATTTCCTTTAAATAATATTTTAGTGAAACTATAATGATAATTAGTTAAATAAATTTAATTGAAATAGTTTTCAAAATTAATTTATTTTAAATTCTTCGAAATTTTGAAAACTATACAAGATTAACCCACTAAATTATTATTTGATATAAAAAAACATTAGTTTCTTGAATCAATTATGTTACTCTGTGCTGGATGCCAGGCCATGTAGACATAAAAGGAAATGAGGCAGCTGATGCGCTGCTAATACATTCCTCCTCGATCCGGAGTTCTTCTGCGGAATAGGACCACATACTGTTCGATGACATCTAAGAAAGGGATCAGAGACAAGGCGGTTGGGGCACTACCGAAACCTTCCGAGACTGCTACAAACCATGGATCTTCTGGGAGATAAAATGACCAGAAACAATTTGAGATGATTTTAGGGGTTAGATATGTGAGAATCCTTACCGGGGTCTTGTCGGGGCAATGTAAATTTGGAGGGCATTTCAGTAGGCTGGGAATAGAAAGTGAGAACACTTGCAGATTCTGTAAGGAGGATGAGGAGATCTCAGTACACAGTCTGAGAAAGTTTGATGCTCTCTTGTTTCACACACACAGCCGCCCCGCACTCAGAGGAGGGGTCACAATAGATTTTTATACGTGGTGGTGGTGCACTGCTACCTCAATTGTAAAAATCTACAAATCTTCATGAATTAGTTACAAAAATTTGTAATTAATTTATTAAAGAAAATCGAATTTATTAATTATTGCATAAGGCAATTATACTTGTAGTAGCGAAAATTCAGCTCACACCACACTCTGTTTTAAAAAGTTTGGGCTATTAATTCGAAAAAAGACTGTCTGTCTTATGGTTTAAAAACGAGCAAACAGATCAAAATGAAAAGAGAATTTGAGGCTCTAAATGATAATGAAAATATTGTATATATGAGAAAACTAAGCAGGAAACCTAAAGGAGAAAATTTCGAAATCGTTTGTTTCAAGAATAATTATAGTTTTGTTTTAAGACAAGAACTTAAAATTTTAATTTAGCTTCAGAATCAGAAATTTTGCAGTACCTTATATTAGTTGCAGTACCTTATTATTAAGCCTCTTAGTTTAATTATTATTTTCTAATTATATATCCGAAATTGCTAATGACTGTGTTCCAATACTTTTTTTATTACTGTTCTGAACATAATTTAAAATTTTATTTTATTTTATTACAAATTCGTTAATTTTTTGTTTACTTTTCTTTACAAGTAGATAAAATATTGCATACTTTTAGGATAATACATTTTCTTAAATTTTCGCTCACTTACATTAAATTAAATTTTTGCATATATTTAGGATAACTCGAATTTTTTTTTCTTTGTATTATTGAAAATTTTCAAATTAAAAATTTACAATATTTTAAAATTAGAAGTAATTTATTTTTAAAGCTAACATAAAATTCAATTCTGATATATTGAAGAAAAACCAAAAAAAAAAGAAAAGAAAAACTGGTATTTTTTTCCAGTGTTAACCTTTTTCAAGGACAATTTCAATGCACATACATATTACATAAATAATAAACGCTTTGAAATAAAAATACCTTGTAATTGAATGCATATTTTCCAAATAAAAGAAGTACTTTTTCCTTTATTTTCTCTATATGGTTTTAATGTATATAATAGAGTACAGAAAATTTCTCACCCGTATTTTGACAACAGAATTATAGTACCATTATACTGCTGTCATACGTTAGCATCATTATATAATATTGAGAGTTTTAAAGGTATCGAAATAAGTAAAAAGTTAAAATTCATAATTTGTTATTTCTCTTTTCTCTTTAAATTTTCAAAAAAACCATTTCTTTATTATTTTCGTTTGTTAACTCGTACGCTATACAAGATTTAGACAAAAAAAAAAGCGAAAATTATTATATTCTTTTTATCTTTAAGATTCTTTAAAATTTATATAAGATTCGAAGAAAATATTCTCACAAGATAAAAAAGAAAAACTTGGTAATTTACTCGTCTATATTTGAAAATGAAACAAAAAAGAAAATTGAAAAGAAAGCAGTTTGAACAAAGATGAAGGAAAAAGAAAAAATAAAAAAAGAGAAAAAAGAATTTCAAATTTGTTTCAAATGGTTTTTCAACTTATTTAATTGGGTTTGCCAGATGAATGAAATTATTTAAAAATTTAAAATTTCCCAACTTAAAAATAGATTTAGATCGTATTAAAAGTCTTAAATTAAAAAGTCTTTAAATTATGACCTTTTCGCCTGGGCTTGCCGATATAATAGTCAACAATAATTGTTGATTGCTTTTGTGCCTTATTTTGTATAGTTTTAAGGCTGTATGGTTCTTAACGCTATATTTCTTGGAATGAAAGGAAATTCAAATCAAAATTTCGATTTCCTATCACCAATGCTCTTATTCGACCATATTTCTGTTCAGATTTCTAAAAAAATTAGTTTTAATATTATTAAGTTTCGACACATGAATAAATAATGTGACTTCAAAACAAATGTTATTAAATTTCCGAAATTTCGATATAGTTTCTTCTAACGATTTCATATCGTAAATTTTCTCTTATTTCAAATCTCATAAAGTTTCTCTCTTACTTCATCAAAAGGCAATTTTAAACAAAAAAGACTCTCTTCTATTCTATTCGAAAAAGTTCTATTGTAGCTTTTTCAATGTATGGGATTTTTTCCATTATTTTATTAACTACAATATTTACTTGAATGCCATTGGTAGCTCTACTCTACTCTTTAAGCTTAAATTCTTATAATAATTTTTGTTGGTAAAAAAAAATTTTTTTTTTTATTAAATTTTAAGAAAATATGCGAGTGTGTAACGTATATAGGAAAAACAACCAAAGAATTGTAATTTAAATTTTTTAAAATATCTTTAAAATTAAATTTTCGTAATAATGTAAGAAAATCTTAAATTCCTTATATTTTAATATAAATTTAAAAAATTAAAAAAAAGAACAGGAAATTAAAGCTAAATTTAATTTAAGTAAAAACTTTTATAATTTACTAAAATCTTTAGAATTTTTTTTCAATTTTATTTAAAATTTTGATAAAAAATTACAATTAGCTAATAAATGAAATTATAAGAGATTAAATGAGAATAGATAGAGTTGACCGTCTTAACTCTGTGGTACCTACATATATGAATGAACGATTTTAAGTCCTGTGTGTTGATTGCCATACTGTTCCATAAGTACTTGTGGTTTTTCATTCGTTTATACAAAATTTCAGCACTTTATATTCAAGCGTTTCCACATTATAAGACGAAATGATTTTTGAAGTTTTATGACAGCTAACACCACTTGCCGAGAAATTTTAACAATTTTTATCTTACATAGCTTACGTTCTACTAATATACTCGTACGAATTTTCGCTATTATATAGCTTCAATAACTTGTATTTGAGATATAGATAAATAAATTTAGAAGTTGTGTGGTAGTTGTCTGAACCGCTGCCTTCATTACATTCAATTTAAATCAAGTTCTGGCATTTACTATATTATAAATTAATTGTGAAAATTTAATGAACTTAGTTCAATTAGTTTTTGAGCTATCGTTGGGACAGTCGGACAGACAGACAGATATATGTTTGAATAGACTCGGATTTCGACACTGATCATAAACATACAATTATGTCTATATACTAGACTATTATTTCTTAGCGTTACAAAAAATGAGGCAAAATTATTGTATCTTACCAACGTACGTTCGTACGGGTATGAAAAGTAAATCATTTATAAAATTGAATTTATTAAAGCCTCGAATTAAAATTTCACAATTTTTGAACGAAAAAACTCATTAGTTTGAATTGTTTAGATATGCAATAATATTTATTAAATTTAACACTTGAATTTTAACAGATTTTTAAAATTGAAATATTTAAGTATAAGAGAAAATGCTTCTTAGCAGCTAATATAGCATTTGTTCTATTATAAATAAATCGTAAAATGTAATAGCACATTGAGCTCAATTATATTACATAATCATTTTAGTTACGTCACTTACGTCATTGCATTATAACCAATTAATAAAAAAATATTGGAAGAGAAAAAACCCGTTATCATACCGTTTAGC